CAAACAGAGCATCTCTGATCCCTCCCAAACTCCCCTGCTTCTCTCTCTATATATATAACCTCCCTCTCCAAACATAAACCACACACAACAAATTCAAAACAAAAAAAAAGAACCCAAATGCCATATTCTTACTCGAAAAACTTCTTCCGACGCTTTTGCGTCGAGGATTTTCGCATGTCTGCCGAGACGCAGAGCGGCTTCTTCTCCAACGACCTCATACCTTCATTAGGCGCTCGAATCAACCGAGCCACCAAGCTCCGAAAACGCGTAATTTCTCCATTCAACCCTCGTTACAGGTCTTGATAATTATTCCAACCTCATTTTCCCATTTTCTTTTTAGGTCCTTTTGTTCTAAAATGTTTTTTTTTTTTTTAAACAAGTTGTTATTTTTTTTTTTGTTTATTTTTTTTCAGGGCATGGCAAATGTTTCTAGTTCTCATGGTTGTGTACTCAGCTTGGATCAGCCCATTCGAGTTCGCATTCTTACCGTACAAACAAAACGGCCTCTTGGTAACCGATAGCATTGTCGACACTTTCTTTGCAGTCGACATTATTCTTACTTTCTTCGTCGCGTATTTGGACAACGAGTCGTACCTTTTGGTCGACGATCATAGGAAAATTGCAGTAAGGTAATTATAACAAATATGAAATGTAATTTTTTTTACTTTTTATTTTTTTTACTCCTCTTGAAAAAACATTAACATAAATTTATTTATTTATTTATTTTTAGGTATCTTTCGACATGGTTCGCCTTCGATGTCTGCTCGACCTTGCCTTTTCAGTCCCTAAGCCGCCTCTTCACGTACAACAATGGAGGCTTGGGGTACAAGCTGCTGAGCATGCTCCGGCTGTGGCGGCTCAGGCGGGTCAGCTCGTTGTTCGCGCGTCTCGAGAAGGATATCCGGTTCAACTACTTTTGGACCAGATGCACCAAGCTCGTCTCCGTGAGTTCCATTTTTTTATTTTTTTTTTCGAGTAATTTAATGTAACGGTAACATCACTGAATAGCCATTTCGTTTTGTGAAAAAGATGAAATATACTCAAATCATGGTAAAATAGGGTAAATTGCGCCAAACCCCCCTGTATTATACGAAATCTGTGCGTTTTCCCCCTGTATTTTAAAAATTGCGCCATACCCCCTTGTAATATACTTTTACATGCGCGAAACCCCTTAAACCGTCAAAAATGACGGCAGTGGTTTGCACGCGCGTGCTGTGCGATTTTTTCTTCATTTTTTCACCCTAAAATGCCTGAAATTACTGCTTTACCCCTAAAGTAATTATAATGACGGCAGTGGTTTGCTTTATATATATTACTGCTTTATATATATTATATAAATATATAATATATTATAGTATATAATATGTAAATTTTAGACCCCCCAGGCCCCATGACAAAAGTTTGACGTCATTATAATATATATGTATATATAATATATAATATATTATAGTTTGTAATATATATAATATTATATTATATAAAATATATATAAATATATTATATAATATCATAAATA